TTAAAAAAGTTATTTTAAATTAAAAAAGTTATTAATCGACAAGTCATTTTTTAAAATTAAAGTTAACGATATACTTATTAATTATCAACCATGTATTAATTAATTATTTTTTTTTTTGTTCGTTTTAAATTAAAGTGCTTAAAAGAAGCGAAATTAAATTTTTGTGTTATCGGTTTGTTTGTGTTAACGACAAACACATGTTTGATTTTATGAGATTCATTTCAAACAAGCCGAACTAAAACAATGTAAATTTGCTAGAGTTAAACACGAGCTAATACTTAGCTCGTATTTAATACCGACTCCGAATTAAAATTTTTATAATATTTATTTTGTAAACTATTTTATGAATTAAATTATTGTCTAAATTTATTATTAAATTTCACAAATCAACAACTTCAAATTTAAATGAATATCGGGAAGTTTTTGAATTGGAATTATGTAGAATTTGAAATAAGAAATTCAATTTCTTTTTGCTATTCGCATCTTTAAGCTAAAAAAAGAAATTATGGAGAGGATTATTTTTTTTCCACTATTCTCAATCTTGAAACTTATAAACATAAATCCTGATTTAACTAAAGAAATTCATGCCGACGCCACCGGGAAAGTCAGGGGGCACACCCTCCCCCTCCCCCCACTTTTTTTTAAAAAATTTTCTTTTTAGAAATTTAAAATTGCACCCCCTCCTCCCACAACACACACCTACTTTAAAACCCATGACGTCGATCCTGAAATTTCTTGAATCAGAAACCTTATAAATAAAACATTAAGTTCATACTTCCTCTTCAAATATTGCTATTTAAATTTGACAAATAATCTAGGTAAACCGAATATATAAATTTTTATCACATTTTTTATAGATAAATATATTTTTAAGTGATGTCAAAAGCGAGACTTGTAAAAGTCTCGCTTTTGACATCAGTTAGTTAAAAAATAAAAACTAAGGTTAAGTACAATCAATTTGTTTTTGATAAACATTACCAGTTTTTAAACTTTAATTTCAAGTTTAAAAATGTTGATTTCCTTCGTCTTTTAAAACAAAACTGTAGATGTAATATTATGACTATT